GTCGTGGGGGGCAGAAAGAGTGGGCGGGGGTGGTGGTGGGTAGTAGTAGAGTAGCGACGGAATAATGAGTTTCGCGGAACGAGTGGCTCCGTCCTGCAAAACTCGATCTCCAAACTCGATCCCAGACGGATTTTCCGACCGTTACGAAAATGACTCGCCCTTCGAACGGTCCGTTTATCGCGTGTACACGCGTGTCTACGCGTGTAGAAGAGCGCGTGAGCGCGGCGGAGGGCAGAGAGAGAGAGAGAGCGAGAGCCGCGCGTTGCTCGTCGCAATTTCACACGACACTTTGCGAGCAGCGGCGAACGTAACGACGACAACCTTGAACCCCGTGGTCGGTCCGCGTTAAACTTTGACACGCGGCCAATCGGTTCTCGTTTTTTCGTATTACCCGCGGCGGCGGCGGCGGCTACATCGCCGATTGATTTACGGGCCCTCGCCACGGAGAGAAAAAAAAACCGTCCGATCACGTGGCAATGCAGTGGCAATCGGTCGACTCACCTTGTGGTGCTGCATGATGGCAGTGGCCTTTCGCTTAGCGGACATATTCAGTCCCGACTCTGGTCTTTCTTTCTTCGCCGCGTGCAACGGTAATCGTGTTTCCCTCTCTTTTTCCCGCGTCCTTGTCCCTCGGTTAACCGTCTCTCGCTCTGGCTAGCGGGATCTTCTTTGCCGACTTGTGCCACCCGCGCCACCGAAACCACCGATCACAAAACAATAAGGGGGCGACGCGCGCTATCCCTGTTCCGCCCGTTGCGGGCCGCTGCTGTCCTTCTCGCCCCACCGGTGCACAGCCGCCGATAACAGAAACTGGAGCGGGAGAGCGCGGGAGCGAGACGGAGATGTCTCGAATTCGTCTCGATGGCACGTTTCACTCGCGAACTTTCGCGGAGTTCTCGGTTTTAGTCTCGTCTCTGTCGCGCACTCGCGGTCTGTCCCCCTCTCGGTCCCGAGCGTGTACACGGCGCGCACTCTATCCTTGTTCCGCGCACAGCCGCGAACTTTAAGCTCGCGCACAACAACACCACGGCAGCAGCGCCACGAACCGCCGCGATAAAATTCCCGCGGTCGCCGCAGGTGTCGACGTAGACGCGGGTGCGGGTGACAAAAAGGGCAACAAGCGAGCGTGTGTGCGAGTGCGTGCGAGATCGAGCGAGCGAGCGAGCCGATGCCAAGCGAAGGGAAGAGAGAAGAGGCGAGGCGAGCCCGCACGAAAACTGTCCCGTCTACGACCGATTCGAACTTCCGCTCACGTACACGCGATACTCGCCGGCCCGGCTCTGCCTTCTATATAGTCCATCGAGTCGATGCGACAACACTGCCAGAATCGCGATCAGCTGGTCGATCGAAACGTCCGGGCATCACAAGGGTGCACAGAGTCACTAATCACTGACAACGTTCCGCGAACGATCTAGCGTGGCTCGCCGCCAAATCCTGTAGAATGTCACGCACAAATCACATAATATCGCAGCGCGCGGCGTGTTCGACGATTGCGGCGGGAATCGGTCGCGGGAACGATTATCCCGCTCGGTTCTCCAGTCAGTAAAGAACGATCGCGTTCTCCTCGTGCCAGAGGTCGCGTGACCGCGCACGCCGCGGGTTTCGGCTTCGACGACGATAGATCGTCAACCCTCGCGCAGATTCGTGGATCGTTCGGCCTGTTGTCGTATCATACGGTTGTCTCGGGTCGCTCTGCCCTGCTCTCCGCAGGGGACGCGGATCTGCGAAAGGTACGCGACACGTTCCCCCGTTTCTACTGCGATAGTTGAGAGAGCGCCACGCTCGTAGACGAGATCATAGAACGTCCTCACATCACGAGCGCTCACGGCAAACTGGCGACTGGCGACGCGGCGGCGACCCCCCTCCCTCGATCCACCTCACCCTTTCCACTACTCTCCTCGTCGCCGCCGCGCCGCGCCGCTCCGCTCCTCACCACTCCTCGCCGTTCCCCTGTAGCACTCGACTCCCCCACGTCTCCTCACCCTAACCACGCCAACCTCACTCCACGTTTCTCCCATACCCCACTCTCCCTTTGCTTGTCGCACTCCTTCCCCCCTCGGTCTCTCTCTCTCTCCCTCTCCCGGTCCCTCTCTCTCTCTCCCTCTCCCGCTCGCTCTTCCCACTATCCCCGTCTCTCTCCCCGTGACTGTGCCGGTCTCTCTGCCTCCCCCCGTCCCCCCCTCTCTCTCTCTCGCTACCTCTCGCTCCGTCTCCGTCTCTCCCTGACGCCGCGCCCTGCTATGACCCGCGCCGCTCTCGCTCCCCAACGGTCCTCCTCGAACACGTCAACCCTCTCTCCCTCATCCCCCGTTCCTTTCGTCTCTCTCTCTCTCTCTCTCTCTCTCTCTCTTTCTCTCTCTCTCTCGTACGCTACTATTCGACGCGGACGTCTCTCTCCCGCGCGACAGTCCTTCTCTGTTTTCCTTTCTGCCGTTCCAGCGCCCTTGCCGGTTCCTCTCGACCCTCGCTAGCCCGCGGAGGCGGCAGCGGAGGCGGTAAGGTAGGGTCTGTCACCATCAGAACACAGAAGAGGCCGCTGGACGGGTAACTCCAAGGGAAAGCAGGGATTGAAAGGGGCGCAAGGGGCCGTATACGGTCGTCCATAGGGCTTTCGGGGCGAGGGGAGGACGAGGACGAGGACGAGGACGAGGAGGACGACGACGACGACGACGACGACGGAGTACCTTTGGCTGTGCGGCGATGGGGGCGATGGGGCGAAGGGGACAACGGTAACAGCGAGGGGGCAAGGGGCGCGGGTACTCATCGGCCGAAGGGGCTTCTACGGGTGTGTTAGGCTCGTGCTTAGGAGGGTATGCGTTGTACGCCGCTGCGCTGCTAGCCTCCTCTCTCTATGGACACGTCCGCAAGCTTGTGTGGATACGCGGCCGTACACCGGTCCGTTGTCTCTCTTCCTTGCTATCTATCTGTACGCCCATCTTTGTCCCCTGCCCTCGCCCGTGGCGAGCTGGTGTGCGATATCAATGCCCAGTTCTGACCGTGTGCGCGCGCGGGCACACTTGCACGCGCGCCGCTGATGATGACGAGTCATCCGAGCGCGCGCTCGGCTTCGGCCACGATACGTGTTCCGACGGCTCTCTATGATAGCCCGGTCTTTCGAGTTATTAGCTGACCGGGGGTATCAGCGACTGCTCCGACCACCTGCGGGCTCGATAAGGGAGGACGTGTCGCAGGGTGTTCAACTTCGTGGACGAGGAAACGCTAAGCTTCTCTACCCCTTCTCCGGGGACAGTTTTACAACAGCTACATTGTACCTTCTCTCGATACCGGGACTCGTTCCGTCCGCGTGACGGCGCGGCCAGCAAGTACACTTGGAATTCGAAACGGTTTCCTACCGCGGTGGTACACAGACGCGGGACTTGTTGTTCCACGCAGCCGTACAACGGTGTTCGATATTTGGAAACTCGTTCGGAATAGTTTCGCTTTCGACGGACACGGACTCTCGGCCGATTCAGATTTGGCGACTGCGATTACGGATTCATACTTTCGTACGAATTCTCGGCCGGTCTCGCGTTCATCTTTCCGCGAACTCTTGTATTTGTCTTTCGTTACGGAACTTACGGCTTTGTTAACGCGAATTTTGCCGCGAAAGTTACTTCGTGACGATGGAACGATCGTGGATGTTTGGTTAGACCTTCGGCCATTTTTATCGTAATGTACGCTTCGGTTAAGAAATATATTCGGTTGTTTTCTATCACAATGTGGAAAATTAAACATTGGAAAATTGGAATGTGGAAAATTAAAGTGTATTATAATTTTTCTTGTATGCAGTGCAGCTGTGGCATTGTTGACGGATACAATGCAGGTCAATAAAATGTGTAATGACGTAGGGCTAAAATGGGATAACGGTTGCAGTAACGTGGCACTGGCAACTGTACAATTACAAATATTTAATCGGAGAATAATCGAATGGAGCCTTCGCAACGTAAAGTTTATTTGACCCATTTAACGCATTCGTTTACTAGAATTGAATAAATCAATGTTATTTACTGTAAAAAAAAATGAAACTTTCAGCTGAGGATCGTGTCGCCCGTTTATGGCAGCTCCTCCCGTCCATTAATTTCCCCACAGGCTTTGTCAGAGTATTTCACAATGCATTTGTGATTATCCTCCGTTCGTCACCGAATGGAAGCGTCGAAATTAATGTCCGTCATTTCATCGGTAGTCAAATTAAACGTTGCCCGTGGTTTTAAAATGGCGTCTATTAGCCGGCGAATTGAAAAGTCGCGAGCGAACGGAATGAAAATAAACCGCGTCCCCTCGCCGGCATGGCCGGGATTGTTTCTAATTCCTTCGCGTCGATAGGGGGAGAATCTCCACCCTTATCGGCCGGCGTACGCGATAACGATCTAAGCAACAGTTTGCCGCGGGGGCGGAAAACTTCGGGACACGGGGAGCATAAAAAAAGTTGAAACTTTCCGGCGAAAGTGCAATTCTCCGCTTTCGATTCCGACTCCCTTCGGCGCTATCGATGACACTCTCGGTCACAGTGTACGGCAGCCGGCTTACTTTGTACTTTTTGTTTACTTTTCGAACTTGCGTCACTTATCGAGTAATCCAAAAAAACTTTTTGCGTTTTAACTTCGCGGCTCGAACCGTTGTGTCGAACCGGGCCGGCAGACTTGATTCCGTTCGATTTTTCGTTGCTGTTTGTCTACTTGTGTTATTCTGTCACGACGTAATGTAAACGATTTTCAAAATATTAAATACTCGAACGTTTGTGAAACGTATATATGTATATTCTATGTATACATGTTTATTTATTTATTTATTTATTCATTCGTAATACGAGGAAAAAACACACTAATACACAAAGTGGAAAGATATCTGTTCAGTTACCATACAGAACAAAGTTTATAGAAAAGGGAATGAAATGTAATAAAACTACAACATTAACACTAGATTTACGGAACCCGTCAAAATGACGGATCACTAATTTTTTAATTTACGATTATTTAAGTCGTATAGATACATTTATGAGTTATTTATTCAATTTATAAGTTACTTACTGCAAATGTTGCAATAACACTTGTTCAAAATCAGAATAAATGTCTTATTGTTACTTTTATAAACCAATATGAAACAGCTGTTTTTTGTGCTCCGTAAATCTAGTATTAAACATCGTACATGATAACACGGATATTAAATATACAAAGTTTGGTCGTAGATTGTAGACTCGGTTTGATAATGTCGGAACTTCGATTGCAGAATTTGGTAAACTCGGCATTGATACCGAATGAAAATATGTTCGTGGAATAAATTAAAATAAACTTTCCAGAGGGGTAATGTATCGGAACATTCAATTCATTGACCGTGAGTCCAGTCACTGACAGCGCTACAGCAAGAAGTTGTGAGTAGGGTGAGGAAGGCTCCCGGCGCGTTTTTTACGAATCGTTTGAGCCGGATGCAGAACGTCAGGGAACCCCTACGAAAAGCATGATTAAAGATCCATGTTCATACTCGATTACTCAATTCTCAACTATCATGATGCGATCGAACAACCGAGGAACGTGGAATCAGCCTTGGACATATTTATTATTGCAGACGAAACTTTACTGCGGACCAACGCGGTGAACTGTTTTTGTTAATTGATTCGAGATACGAGAGAAAAATGGAAATCTAACTACGTATCACTATTTATAACTATTTATTTAATACGATTTCGGAATTCAATGCAAACATTAATGTTCATAGCGTTTACATCGTATAATTTTGCGAAACAATTATTCTGGAGGCATACTCTGTTCATCTACGAATACATACAATTTTGTGTCATATATGATAGCTGTAGAAATTATTGGTAATATCAAAATTATTGAGTTGCATACAGATGAGTACGCCGCAACAAATTTTGTATACAAGTTATTAAATAATCTGTGTCACGTTAAGACGATGAATCTTAACCATTTGCACTCGGATGCTCCCTTTCAAAGAAGATAATAAAACTGATAATAAAACAAAAATTCTATTTAACCTTTTGCGCTACGATTTCTTTGACAGCTGCGATAATTACGACACAATTTCTGTTTCTCGTGTATCTTTATTTACTTTTCTAAGATTTTCATAACAGAATAATCAAATTTTAAGGACGTTGAATAGAGTAATTATTTCTAACGTTATACAGTAAATTCTCGCCAATCGTCGCTCAACTTAGAAACGAAAATGGATAATTTGGGAAGAACGGATTCGAGCCTCGTTTTCATAGTTGTCGGCGACTATAAAAACAAGCCGCGAGGCTCGAATAATCGTGTCTCCTCTTCCGAAATTGTTCATTTTTTATTCCAAGCTGAGAGAAGGAGAGAATTTACTGTATCACCCTCGCAAAGAGTTACTTAATATTAACAATACTTAACGAGTCGAGTAAATTCCGCAAAACCATCGACGATTCTTTTCAGGATTTCTCGATTTTCCGAAACCGGTGCCGACGTCCGCGCCTCGAATTTCGTACAGCGATATTAAGAAACTACGCAACGAGACGTCCAGGCATCACGCCAAATGAACTTCCTTAGCGCGCAAAAAGCCGCGAGCACGCTATCTTGCTCCATCAGGATCGCGTATGAACGTATAGTATTCGTGATCGCGGTGAGACCAGCGCACTCACGGGCGCAACGTGTCATCCCACGAGGGAACAAAGACCACTCGACCCGCCGCACACCCCCGCACAGTTTCAGAAGCGTCGAACCACGCCAGATCCTCCCGCCGCCTGCCTCCTCCCGTCTCCTGTTGCCTCCTCCTGCCCGCCAGTCTCTCTCTCTCTCTCTCTCTCTCTCTCCCTCTCTCTCTCTCTCTCTCTCTCTCTCTCTCCCTCTCCTCCTGTCCCGCTCCGCCGAAC